CAGCAACAAAACAATAAAAAATGATAATTAAATTTTTCATTTTTAATTTCCCTGAAGATTTTCGGTTCTAAGATTTGCGCAGAGATATCGATTCATAATTTTGACGCAATGGGTTTCGATGGAAAAATTGACATCACGTGAAACTTGATCTCAATTACATTTTCACGTGATCGACATATTCATTGTTCGAGGAACATGAATTTTCCCCGGATTATTTTTAGATAGAATACCGTCTCAGAATTGATGACCTCCAATTCATTCTTGAGATAGTGAACCACTCAAAATTCACCCCAGGATAAATTTTTGATAAATTCAAAGACAAGAGGAGAATTCTCTCTCCCCCTAAAAACGATCTCAATATATTTTTCTGCGTGGCTGCAATATATCCAGCAATTTCCACACAGAAAAATTTATATTTTCAATAAAATATTTAAGAAATATCTCAAATAATATTTAAAAAAAATATATATAAAATAAAAATGAAATAAATATAAAAATATATAATACATATTATAAATCATATCTCAATATATTTTTTTTAATGGACATGTTAATTCAACCATTTAAAAATGCCAATCAATCCACATCTATTTTTTGTTTAATCTATTAGTTATCACTCCCCCCCCCCTGCCTCATTTTCCTTTCATCAACCAGCCCTGAATAATTGAGACCAGCCATAATCTTACACTCCCTTTTCATCAATTTCATCAACTCCTTTTCTCCTCAGAGCATTGTTCATTGTTTTCTGATACTTCTGTACTAGATGAGGCAGCAGACACGCCTCCCCTGGCCATTCATTCAGGAGTCGTTCATTGTCTATTGTGGAATACCGTCAGTTGCACGTGGAAATGAGATAATGGAGGCGAATAAAAAAGCGAGAAAAATATATTGATAAAAAAAAAACGCATTAAAGATGAGAATGTAGGAGTCATCGAGACGAGAGACTGAAATTATCGACGTATCGAGGAAATGTATGTTATAATATGAGAACAACGGAACGCATCTAACTTTATGGTATCACATCGTGTAACGTATTTATAGTCCGTTGAAATGAACCACGATGGCTATTAATGATTTTACTCGGTTAAATTATTACGTGCTAGATTAAAAAATATATATGGAGGAGTGAGGATGGGCTTGATAAAAGGAGAATGGGTGTGGGAGTTATAGAGGGAAAGTTAGTGCTTTGGTATCTTATCTCGACAGGATACAGTCAACAGGCTTCCACGCCAACCAGCTGTTGCCTCCTTCAATAAAAATTCATTTTCACCTATTCCCATGTAAATCACATCTTTCACCGATTTATGACTCCAATGAGATTTATTTGAAAATATAATCCCTGTTCAACCCACAACCCCAACACCCTCCAATCCGTTACAATAAATAATAAAATATTTTCATTGAACAATTACTCAAGTTTATACCCCAATAAAAGGGGTGGAAATGCAAATAAAATTGGAGTTAAAGTACACGTGTCTACTCACCCAACGATTTTTCTATGAATATTTCAAGAGGGTGAACTTCCCACTCCTTCGGTTATATTTTTTATTTATTTATTTAATTTAACAGTTGTTATTTTTTGAGGTGAAATTTTAACTTATTTCTAATCATCCGGCGTTGTGGGGATTTTTTTTATTTATTTATTTTGTGCTCTTTGGTATTTTATTTTCATTTTCACTGGGTTCTACACTAACTCGTCTACCGACTAGTCTTCTAGACTACTGGCCGATCGACAGGTGGCTGTTACTACTGCCTAGCCCCTTCTCCATTCTCCTACGTATGTACTTCAATCTTTATGTATATGTACTTTATTATCAATGTGTGGGGGTTTATTTTAGGTGTGTTTGTGCTGTCGTGCGCGTCACGTTGGGGGCAGCAGTACTCGGTGTCAGGAGCTGAAAGGGCTGGAGCAACCCCTAGGGTGATCTACCCAGTGGATAGACACCGTCCAAAAAATAAATCATCGTTTTATCAAAAAAAATTGTATCAACAAATCCAAAATTCAAACTCTTCCTTCAAAGTATCTATTATTATTTTAATTATGATTTTACGCAATTCACTGACAGGTTTTTCAAAATATTTTTGATTTAAATCTGGAAAAGTACGTCTGTACACTGGGCTGCTTTTTTAAATGCCCATCTAGGGGGAGATTTAACCCACTTAAGCTGGGGCTTACTCGTGTTTATTGGGGTACCTTGGAAAACCTTAAATTTCCGCCAATGGGAATCACCGATTAAGTTTGGAGGGTTTGATTGGTGGAATTTGAGGGTTTAGGGGGTCTTAAATGTGAGGATGATTCCACCCCTCAGCTACCCCTCAGCTACCCCTCCTGCTTTTCTACCACCAGGTGGCTTTCCGAGGGATTTTCAGGGACGTACGTTTTATTTTCTCTGCTGTTATTTTTTTTTATTTTGGAATCTATTCTCTCAGGGGCCTTGACTCTCACCTGGACATGAAGGACGGGAAAATCCTCTGGGATCCTATCAAACGGGGAGAGGTGAACTTTGTCGTGGCTGAAGTACAAAAATGTAAAAGATAAATACCGGAGATGATATTTTTTCTTGTTTAAGGGATGAAGGAAAAATGTGATTAGACTTCGATTAAATCCATTGGTAATATGGATTATTACATTAGTTTAGGAAAATTGTTTATTTAATGATAAGGTAACCCTTCAGCAATAAGTTTAGACGCCACTGTTACCAGTTCGCGTTTGCCATGTTTCCATTGGCGTTAGTAATCTCTTCCATATTCTCTGGAGTAACCTATAATCGTTGAACCATCCAGTTCTGTTGGTGTTGCTAGATTGAATTTGTTTAACTTTCAAATAATTCGTTGATGCTTGCGGAAGAAAAAATATTCCATATCCTTGCCGTTTTTTGTTAAAAGGCGACTCAAAAAAAATAAGAAACTATATTGAGACATCTTACATATTTGGATAAATTTCGGTGAAAGGTAAGCGATTTAGAGAAATGCCTTTCTCGAACTTTCCATGCAATTTTGGCTTTTTATTATTAATCATTAAAAAAAGAGAATAGTGGATATATTTTTTTGCTTTCATTAAGTTTCGATGTTTTATGTACGGAGTAATTTTTCAATTTGTTATTGGAGGAGCGACTCAAGCAGACACCAACCGTAAAATTTTATATTTTTCAATTTCAATTCAATTTCGATTTTTCATCCCAAAAGTCATGGCGAACGATTTTCAAATTCTAAAATCAATTCATTATGATATTAGGATATTTATAATGAAGTTTTAGAAAATTATGTGCAGTACATAAGAATTATAATATATTTGGTGGGTCTCAGTCTATTCAGGATACAATTAATTAATTAATCCAGTCCCTCGTGTACCAACTTGATATGGATGTATGAAATCTGTTGTTTAGAACAATGGCCGTTGATATCAGTCCCGAAAAAAATGGAGGAATCCTCAAGGAAATCACGAAAAATGGAGAAGGAGTCGAAACGCCCAGCACAGGTTGTAAAGTAGTTGTTCATTACACCGGAAAGCTTCTTGATGGAAGCAAGTTCGATTCTAGCAAAGACAGGAATCAACCCTTTTCATTCAATCTTGGACGAGGTGAGGTAATTCAAGCATGGGACATTGGTGTTGCTACCATGAAGAAGGGTGAAGTGGCAGTTCTCACATGTGCTCCGGAAAAAGCTTATGGAAAGGGTGGAATGCCCCCCAAAATTCCGCCGAATTCCGTCCTTGTATTCGAGGTAAATATTAATCAAAAGATAAACATTACGCAAATAAAAAAAATACTTTAGCCAAGGATATTTACTAACTACAAGAAAATGCATAAATAAATTTAGAATAAGTATTTTTAGATTTTTTAAGTTTAAGTTATACCTTTTTATATCTATACCTATAATATTTTATACCTATTTTATACCTATTTATGCTGTTTATTGAAGCATAATGATTGATCGATCGTGTTTTCTCGAATAGATCGAAGTTTTGAGTTGGACTGGTCACGACATAAGCCGCCACAAGGATGGTAGTATTGAAAAGTTCCTAATGACAGCCGGACATAATGAAAGTTTCCCAACTGAAGGATCATTGGTGGATGGTATGTGCAAAACTATTCAAGAAGTTGATATTACGGATGTTCCATATAAAGCCACATTTTATATTACGTTTTTATTTCTATCAAATTATCGATGGGATTCATGTAAAAAAATAGAACCTATATTTTTTTTTCTAAAATTCAGTTCATGTCATTGGGAAATATAATGGCGAAATATTTGAGGAAAGAGACGTTGAATTTAACCTCGGGGAAGGTGAGGAAGCAGGAATAATTGAAGGCATCGAAGACGCACTCGAAAACTTCAAATCTGGAGAGACATCCCGCCTTAAAATCAACAGCAAATACGCCTTCGGTAGTAGTGGGAATAAAAAGTTTAACATTCCGAGTGACGCTGATGTTGAGTACATTGTGACGTTAAAGAGTTTCGAACAGGTGAAAGTATAATTCAGTATTCAGTATTAATTCAAATTCAACTATATAGAAGTGTTTCTACAATTTTTTTTGATGTCCCGAGCCCGATAATTCAAGCGTATTGTATGGCTTGATTTATTTAATTAATGATTCCATATTTTATTTACAGAGTGTCGATATTCGGAGTTTAGAACCAGCCGAAAAGCTACAGCAAGCGAAAATTCATAAGGACAAAGCTACCAACTACTTCAAAGCAGGAAAATACCAATTAGCAATCAAAATCTGCAAGAAAGCAGAGGAATGTCTCGAACTGTGCGAAGATGCAGCAGGGACGGTCGAAAAGGAACGTGACACGCTTCGTTTATCTACGTTCCTTAATTTAGCTTTATTTTATCTAAAAAACGGCCAATATCTCGAAGCAAAAGGAGCTTGTGACAGCGTTCTGAAATTAGATCCGCAAAACGAGAAAGGATTATTCAGAAGAGGACAAGCTCATGTGGCTTTAGCATCTCCAGAAGTCGCTCTCCAGGACTTCCAGGAGGTTCTGAAAATTGAGCCTAAAAACACAGCTGCTCTCAAAGAAGCAGTTGTTTGCCAAAATTTGATACAAAAAAATCGTGCAAGAGAGAAAAAACTTTATGCCAATATGTTTGATAAATTCGCTCAGGCTGACAAACAGGTAAAATTAACTAAAGCCATTAAAAAATGACAAAACGCAAAAATATTATATTTTTTCACATCAATTCGATCGATAATTTGTTGAACAATTTAAAAAGCGTGAATTTGGGCTATATATGACTGTAGAATCTCCTTTAAACCCTGATGGGATTATATTATGGGACATAACATTATTTTTTCATCTTTTTTTGAATTTCCACTAACCATTCGAAGTAATGCTTGATGAAACTTTTTCTATTCCCATAAATTATTATGCAGTAATGTCACAGAGGGAGGAGGACAAGCGGAAGCAGCAGCCTGATGTGATGCTAGGTACTCTAGGTGAATGGGGACAGGAGGAAAGACCAGGAGGCCGAGACGCAACGGCTTTCGAAAAAGAAAATCCCAATATTCTTATGCTGAACGCAAATGGCGACGGTGAATTCCAGAACATGTGAACCCGAAACATCAAAACATAATATATATACTAGCATATTCATTCATGGATACCAACTTTGTGAATAATTGATTAAATCAACATTCAGAATCCCATAGCAAGCCTTTTCATTGGTTTTGATAAAAATCATAACTATTTATTAAAGATTACATTTCCTATAACAAAAACGTTTTCACGCCTGAAGCAATACAATACAGAAATAAATTAAGCAATTGTTCACTTTTATGTATCATACCACTTCAATTTGTTATTCAAAGCTGCCGACAATTTAGACCTATAATTCTGCACCATACAATCTAAATTGCGTTCTTCTTTGAGTAATTTTTTTGCCCCCTGCTTAGGCCTGATGTCCTTTTTAGAATGTCTTTCTATAATCTTCTCATGTAATTTTCGTTGCATTTTCCTATCTTTTTTCGCATTCTTCTGCGCTTTCATATGCAACTGTGCTTGAGTCTTCACCTTAAATTTCGACCTCATCTTTCGATCTCCGGGGCGACTCGTGACTCCGGAAAACTTCGGCATTTCTTCTTTCGACGACTCCAGTATATTACCATTTGTCTTATAATTCTCAATCTTGAGTTTCTTCGTGCATTGTGAAGGAGCTGCATCTACATTTTCCTCCCGTGAATGATTATTTCGTTTCATCTTCCATAAAGGATTATTATCTCTGCTTTTCTCTATTCTTCTTTTTTTGACATTCACCATAACACGATTCTCGATAGAAAAAGCCACTATTGGTCTTTTTGTTTTAGAAAAAATATTGGGATTATTATTGATATTCCTGAGTGCTCTTAAAGCATCGTCATGCGTTGTAAAAGTGACAAACCCAAATTCCTTGGATTTCCCCAGTCCGTTGGCCTCAATATTTTTCATATCTCGCATTACCCTGGCCTCAGTAATAACTGCCTTCTCTCCTGCATGTTTTTTAAAAATTGTCCTCAATTTCATATCATCCAACGTTATCGGTAAGTTATGAACAACAAGCCTTACTCTAGAAACAAACATGTTTAAATTTCTCAAGATCTGTGACTTCCACTGTTCCAGTTGTAAACGCTTTGTCATATCCCCAACAGAAACATCAGAAGCAGCTGGACTTCCTGCTAAGATCAGCCCTTCTTTTATCAAGTAAAGGTTTCTCGAGTCCTTTATATGATTAGCCTTCTGAAACTTTGAATTTATGATGTCTTGTTTGGCTACAGCTCTCTGAGCATACACAATTTCTCCGTGAATTTGTAAATCTGTACCTAGCATTAAACATTTTTCCGCATCTTCCAGATTCCTGAATTTTACGAACGCAGTGCCCTTTGAATGTTCTGTTAAGGAATCCATGCAAACTAGAGCATACTCTACCGGACCCACTTGTTCCATCCATTTTTTCAATTCTTCGTTTTTTATTGAGAACGGAACATTCGTCAGGAAAATTGTTTTTCCTTCATTCACATCGTGAGAAAAAACTCGGGGATGTTTTTTAATTTCTTCCTTTATATCATTTTCTGACTGTCTATTTCCCTCTTCGTCTATGTGCGCGGTTTCTTCTTCTGTATCTATGTCTTCCTCGTCGTCTTCTTCGTCTTCTTCTTCGTCTCCTTCCTCTTCAGCTTCTTCTTTCTCGAAATGTTTTTTTTCTTCGAATTTTTCTTCAAGTTCCGATTTAATATCTATACCTTCTTCAATCGTTACGACGTCTTGTGATTCTCTTTCGTCAGTTGCATTTTTATTTGTTTGTTTGAAAACTGTTTTCGACACAGCCCAATCAACCACAATCAACCGACCCATGAGTTGGCATAAATTTGAATAGTGAATGGCCTTCGATGCACTTTGAACATTATCGTATTGTATGAACCCGCAGCCAATGCGCTGTCCGTCTGGTTTCGTTAGCAAATTCACCTCCTCGATGGCACCATATTGAGAAAAATGATTTTTCAAATCTTGCTCGGTCGCAGCGAATGGTAAATTTCGAATGATTATTCGAGAACTTTTTTTTCGTTTCTGGAGTTTATATTGTTTTCTTTGAGCTATCTTCAATTTTTTACATTCTTCGGGAGATTTCTTGGGTTCAACTGAGTCCAGAATTCCATTCTCCAATTTTATTTCATGTGTGTCTTCCGTTGAAGGTGCATCTTCATTTTTGGATTGTATCATAGGAGTTTTTTTGAGTTGCTCATTGAATTTGGATTTTGAAACCGCCCAGGTAACGTTTATCGGTCTTTCCAGAAACTCTTGTTTATTAGTCTTGAATATGGCTTTAGAAGCATCTTCTATTCGTTTGAACTGGACGAACCCACAGCCGACTGGCTTTCCATCGGGTCTGCGAAGAAGCTCGATCTGCTCTATTTCTCCGAATGATTTGTAGAGATTTCTTACGTCATCTTCTGTCACCTAGATTCATAAATTCGTTCTATTATCTATTAAGTCACACAATCTCAATACATCGTGCTTCTGATATACTTAATTTAAAATACAGCTTGGGATGCTATAGGCAATAATGTTTCGTTTGCAAATAATTTAAGAGTGACTTACCTTAAATGACAAATTTCGAACAATAATTCTGGCCTTTTTATTCTGCACTTGAACTTGTCTGTTATCAGTCCCAATTTCTCGTTGCCCTTGTCTTTTTTTATTTCTGTAGCTCCAGGAAAGCTTTTTCCTGTCGCTTCGAGGGCCTGAAAAAATAGTAATTATTCATTCAAGATTATTAAAGGTTTCATTTCTGTAAACACTCAATACTGCAGCAGTTTCAAAAACATTCTCATTATTGGTTAGAGTGAACTTGTGAAAGTTTATAAAGTACCAATTATTTATAAAATTATGTAATCTATATGATTCCGGCAATTTTCGTGACAAATTATAGCACCCACATACCTTTATCATTTCCCATGACTTCAATCAATTATAAAAAATTGTTTAAATTAACTGAAATGGATATTCCACACGTTTTCTACACAAGGCTATTCAGACCAAACTTCTCGTCCATTCGCCCCAAAGAGGATTGAGTAAAGTAGAGGCTCAGTTCTGGCGGTTTGAGTGACCCCAGCGGCATCGTAGTACTGC